CCTTCCCCTCCCCCTTTTCTGATGAAGGGTCTAGACCCGAAACGTCAACCTCTCTGCTCCTATGATGCTGCTTGGCCTGCTGTGTTCATCCAGCCCTGCACCTTGTTATCATCTCTGGGTACGTTCTGCCCCAGCAGCAGGTCAGACCCAGCAGAGGTGGCAGCACAGTGGTATACAGTCGGGAGGGAGTTGCCCCCTGGAGTCCACAGCATCGACTCCGAAACCCATGAAGTCTCATGGCACCAGGTTAAATCTAGACAAAAAAACCTGCAAGTTACCACATACCTTCGGCTGATGAATCAGTACTCCTGTATGTAGACCAATACTTGGAGGAAGCACTGAGGGTGGGAAGCACACAGAATGTACTCTGGATGCAGCTTGGAAGCAGCACTACTGATCAAGCTGGCCTTGTCCTAAAGGACATAGCTGCTAGACTGGTTCTGCGGCAGGTAATGAGAATACTGACAAGAGGGAAGAACGTACTTGATCTCATCCTTACCAATCTGCTGGCTGCAGATGCATCTGTTCATAACAGTATCAGAAAGAGAGACCACCGCACAGTCCTTGGAGAGACTAACTTCCATTTACACTTTGAGATTAATCTCCATCCTGTTGTGCGGCACTATCACTGTGCTAAACTGAACAAAATTCAAACAGATCTAGCAACTCAAGTTTGGCCATCTGTGAGGTGCTGTGGGCCATCAACAACAGCAGAATTGTACTCCAACACAATCTGCAACCTCATGGCCTGGCATATCCCCTACTCAACCATTACCATCAAGTCAGGGGATCAACCCTGGTTTAACAGAGACTGTAGGAGGGCTTGCCAGGAGCAGCACCAGGCATTCCTAAAGATGAGGTATCAACCTGGTGAAGCTACCAGACAGGACTACTTGTGTGCTTGACAGCATAAGCAGCAAGTGATAGACAGAGCTAAGCGATCCCACGACCAGTGGATCAGATCTAAGCTCTGCAGTCCTGCCATATCCAGTGGTGAATGGTGATGGACAATTAAACAAATTGCTGCAGTGGGAGGCTCCACAAATATCTCCATCCTCAATGATGGAGGAGCCCAGTACATCAGTGCAAAAGATAAGGCTGAAGCATTCTCAACAATCTTCAGTCAGAAAACCATCTTGGCCTCCTGTAGTGGTCCGCAGCATCTCAGATGTCAGCCTTCAGCCAAGCAATGACTCATCTTCAATAAGAGAGAATCTAACCACTGTCCCTTGACATTCAATGGTATTACTATCACTGAATGCCCCACTATCAACATCCTAGGATTACCATTGACCAGAAACTTAACTGGACTCACCATATAAATATAGTGGCTATAGGAACAGGTCAGAAGCTAGGAATACTGCAACAAGTAAATCTCTTCCTGATTACCCAAAGCTTCTTCACCATCTGCAAGACATAAGTCAGGACATATGATGGAATACTCCGCACTTGCCTGGATGAATGCAGCTTCAACAACAATCAAGAAGCTTGACACCATCCAGGACAAAGCAGCCCGCTTGGTTGGCACCACATCAACATCCTGGAATTCCTTCCCTAAGGGCATTGTAGGTCTAGCTCCAGCACATGGACTGCAGTGGCTCAAGAAGGTATCTCACCACCACCTTCTCAAGGACAACTAGGAATGTGCAAAAAATGCTGGCAGCCAGCAACGCACATCTTCTATCAGTGAATTAAGAAATAAACTTACACCAAGGCAAAATGTTTTTTTCATATATGGTTATGATACTAGACTAGTAATGGACATTGTAAGGGTTTAATTTATTTTTAATAGATAATTATAAATTATTATCTAAACCATGTATTTAATAAATATACATAATATGTTAATACATTTAAAATAGGTTCCTGCCATTTGCTGTTCAGAACCATGATCTGCCTTAATCCACTGCCAACTTAATTCCCAACTTTCATGCCAGTGTCTGGAAGTTAACATATTGCCTCCCACATAATGAGGTATTTCTGCCTGTCTGCCCCAGGAGCTTCACTAGATTCTGCCTCAAGACACTATAGGCTAAACCTTATGTTTTTTTTTTGGCTAAGTCCAAGTTGTGTTGAGTTTTTATTAGAGGTGTTTCACCTTGAGGCCTAATGAGTTCCCTCGCCATATTGTACCAAAATCACCACGGTAACTAACAACCCCACCCTAACAGCATCCGTCATGTCTGACTTTGACCCCATCAGATAACACGCTTTACACAGAACAACACGCCACTCAAGGGATTTCTGCTGAAAGACCAGCATCTCTCGTGCCCATGCCATCTTTGAAAGGCCACTGTGCACCTGGACAAGTGACCCCAGTGTCCTTATCCTCCTCCTCGGAAGACTGGTGATGTTTCTCAGCGTCCACCATATTGCCTCATTGTCTGCTCCAACTAGAGCAGAGCACAAGGCCTCACTGGACTTTTCATCTGATTCTGCCATAAATTGCGCCATAACCCACATCATTCAGACCCCCATAGAATTCCACCCCATGGAGTCTAATTGATGTTTCAGCAATGAATGGTGGATGATTATTCAATATCTGTGGTGTCACAAACAGACAACTGTCCTTAATTAATTAAGAAACAAATACCTATTAGTCAGAAAGGAGATGTGATTCTGCTGCAATATCAAAACTAATGTTTAAATAATCTTGGTTTATTAGAGATTTTTTGACCTTTAGATATGGACCATCCACCAGTGGCAGTTTAGAATGCAGGGTGTAAGGCAGCCTTATAGGGGCCACTGAATGCATAAATAATTTAAAATGCTGCAAATTTTTACCTATCTTCAATAGAAAGGAACTGTTGCATAAACTTATAAACAGCAGTTTATTTTATGCTGCAAAGTGCTGGAAGAACTGATACCATTTGAATTGCATAGTACCTTAGCAGCAAAGGACATAAACTATAGCCCCTTCAAATCCAGATCTGAAATTCAAATGAACCTGGCTTTTCATTATTATGTGGACCACAAGATTATGAAATGCCTGTGAACTTTAATCCCCATGATAATAGAAATATTCACTTATCGTCATCATCCTCCTACTTTAAGACAAAATAGTACTCTAATATTTGATCAATAATTATTCAATCATAGCAATAGCTAACTTCACAGACATGAAAAGTTATATTTGCAGTGTCATTTAAGTTGTTTGATGAGCAATATTTCATGCAAACGGCTAGAAAATTCCTTGAACGTTCTATGTAAATAAAGTATTTAAGACGTACTCTGACAGGGATGATTGATTTTGTTAAGGTGCTCAGTTTACAAGATATGGTTGTCGTAGGAAGGCTGATGCCAAGATGATTCATCGCAGCTTCTGTGATGCAAGTAAAAAACCGAAGCCAATCCGTCGAATGTGCAACTTACACGAGTGCTCCCAGCCTATGTAAGTGAAGAAGAAAATCCAGTCCTGTGTTCTGTTTATTAACTACATGCTTTCCAGGGCAACATCACCTGAAAACATGGGCAAAATGAACATTAACCATACAAAAATGGTTGAACTTAGGTTAGGTGAAGCGTTAACATTTCTAAAGACCAACAGGCACACATTAACCCATGCGTTGTAGGGTTTAATAGAGGTGGGACAAGTGTTGGCCAGTTTATCTACTCCCAAGACATGGCTGAATAAAGGGAAACCAGTAGGTGTGGTGTTTTTGGATTTTGATAAAGTACCCCACAGGAGGTTAATGAACAATATTAAAGTGCATGTAATTCAGGATAACGTACTAGCATTGATTGAGGATTGGTTAGCAGACTGAAAGCAGAGAATAGCAATAAATAGTTTATTCTTAAGTTTCTAGACTGTGACCAATGGCATAGTGTAGGCTCAGTGCTTGGGCCCAGTATGTTCAACCTATACCAATAATTTGGATGTGGAGACCAATTATGATACAAAAGTTGCTGGGAGTGTGAGCTGTAAGAAGTTGTAACTACATTCTGGGGCATATAGACAGGCTAAGTGATTGGACAAAAGCTTGGCAGTTGGAATATAGGACTGAATTTACCAGGAGTCACCTAAGTGTCAATTTTGGTAAATTTCATGGAGTTTTTCTCTCTGAGCTCTAGGGAGTTTTCCTGTGCTATCTTCTCAAACTCACCTCATTATGTATGTGCTATGCCCCTGTGGCACCCCACTCATAGTCTCCCACTTGCCACAGATGGAAACATTGGCCACTGCTAGGACCTCCTGGAATTCTTGGTACCAGTGCCATATCTTTAAAGTCCAGCTGGGGTAGCCGGTTAAGCATTGGCAGTCCATGACTGAGCTGCACAGTTCCTGTCAATTGAGCCAGACAAGTGGGGCAGAGGGATATTGGCACCCTGCTTTTGCAATAAAATCCAGAGATGTGGAGTTGGCTGGGTCGGTGGGGGTGGTGAGGAGTAATGCATGCGGTTGCTGCCCATCGAGTGTGCCCTGTGGTGTTGGTGTCTGCTGTCCAAGATGGAGAGCAGCAGAAACAAGTGGAGAGCTACAGTCCCCAAGTTACTGCTTTGACATTCAGGCAAGAAATTACTGCTGTCTAGTTTTTCTCCGGTAGCTGGAAGAATGGAAAACTGTATATTAATGAGGTGCGATTATGTAATAAACTGTGCACATAAGCCTCTCCTTACTCACTCGAAGAACCTTATTTATCTGTTCAACACTTGGTTGGAAAATGGGATATTTTGCTCTCGATATCAGGAATCTCCTCACTGCAGATCTCACATGATTCTTCTAAGTTTCACGCTAATGGCCACGTTGATCAGTGGCTGGGAAAATTCAGTCCATAAAATGCATAAGAATAAGGTTATCCACTTTGGAAGGAGGAACAGAAGGGGACAGCATTTCTTGAATGGTGAGAAGTTGAGAAATGTTGATGTCCAAAGGGATATGGACGTCTTGGTTCATAAATCAGTAAAAGCTAGGATGCAGAAGCAGTATGTTAACCTTTATTGCAAGACAGTTTGCGTGCCGGAGCAAAGAAGTCTTGCATCAAGAACTTAAAGCACTGATTAGCATCTGGTGCATAGTGTGCAGTCTGGTCCTGTTGCCTAAGCAGGGATATATTTACTGTAGAGCACAGACTGATTGTTGGGATGGTGTGACTGTCCTATGAGGAGAGAATGAGGAGACTGGACCTGTATTTTTTTCAAGGTTAAAAGAATGAGAAGCAATACCTTAGAAATGTACAAAGTTCTTAAGGATATAGACAGAATAGATGCAGAAAGGTTATTTTCCCTAGTGGTGGGGGTCTAGAACTCGGGGACAGCCTCAGAGTGAGAGGCAGCTGTTGTAGGCTGGGTAACTAATATTGTGTCCAAGTTAAGTAGTGCCCCAAACTTTAAATTACATCTTTGGTTTCAAATTTCTGTGTGCGCTTTTCCAATCTCTAGATCAGTAAATGCCCTTTCCTATTTCCATGATTTCCTTCAGCTCTACTGTGAAATATCTGTGCTCCTCTAATTCCACCCGGCTGAGCATTTCTAATTTTAATGACTCCTCAATTGGTGGCTGTCTATTCAGCTGCCTTGGCCTAAGCTTGCTACACTCTTGTGAAATGTTTTGGGACATTTAACTGTGTCAAAGTCACTATATAAGTACAAATTGTTGTTACTGTACAAGTACAAGCTGCTGTGGTTGTTGACTATTCTAGTCCTCTGTGTTTCAGCTGAAAACTTACACAGGAACCCAAAGATATGAGAAATCAGAAGAGTAGGCCATTTGGCACCTCATTGCTCCTCTGTCATGGTTGATTTTATGGGCGGACTCTTCTGTTTGTGATGGTGAAAAGCTTGGAGGTAGAAAGATTGTTTAATTAGACCGAGTGGTGAAACACCAGAAAGCCTGTTGCCCTCTAACCACTGCCTGGATGAGATCCTGGAGAAAATGCCATGGTCAAGCTTCCTGCCAATGCCAATTAAAGCCCTTAAACATCCACCACAAGTGTCTCGACCCACCTTTGTGGAGATTGACTTAGCTGCGAGTGGTACCTCTACAGGCACCATGTGGGTGGGCGAGTCCTAGGGGGAGGATCCCCTTAGCCTGTATCAAAGCCAATCAATGGACTAGATGTAGGGTATTAGGGTGTTTGCTGCGAACTTTTGAAGCCTTTGCTATTCCCTATTTCCCAATTCCCCTCCCATGTAACCTCCAACCTTAGAATCCTCGCTTGCTACATGTTGCCTCCCCACCAACAAACCACTCACCTTATTCCTTGGTCTACTGTGATACGATAGCAGCCACAACCTCCTCAGTGACATTGCTGAGTTCAGGACCAGCAGTTTTTGTTGGGCCAGCCATCCACCCCAGGTTCTTAATTTGCAGGCAGAGGCCCACCATTGGCCTCATCACCACCTGACTGGCATGTGATTTGGCAGCCTTGCCTTGCCAGAAACAGTGCTGCTCTCTCATTGGCTCTGGGGCTAGCAGCTGAGACCCCTACAACCCCAACAAGAGTCCCCTCCCTATTTCAGCCCTACCTTCCTGCTTTATCTCCATGTCCATTCGTTCTCTTCAGTATTCAAAAATCGGTCGATCTTTGATTAGGGTGTTCTCCAGGCTAGATAATTCGAAAAGGTTCATAGCCTTTTGAAGATATTTGTCCCCACCTCAGCTCTAAATGGCCAATTCTATATTCTGTATCTATAACCTCTAGTTCTAGATCCCAATGAGGAGAAACATCGTTCCAGCCTCTACAATGACAAGTCCTTTAAAAATGTTACATTTCATTAATTGTGTTTCATTCTTTGAAGTTCTAGGGAATGTAGACTCTGTATAATTAATGAGATAGCAAGAACTGCTGATCCTGGAGTCAGCGTTAACACAGTGTGGAGCTGGAGGAACACAGCAGGCCAGGCAGCATCAGAGGAGCAGGAAAGTTGACGTTTCGGGTCGGGACTTTTCTTCAGCTCCACACTTTGTTATCCGTATAATTAATCCCTATTCATAGGACAATTCCCTCGTCTCTTCAGTGAACTGGACTGATTTACAGGGTCTTGAGAAGTATTTAGTGTTTGTTTGCTTGGATTCAGTAGCTATGTTGCTGTCCAGTGCCTTAACTTTCCAAGAAGCCACTGATGAACTCCTGCTTCTTTAGAAATTACCCCGCAAAAGCATTCGGTCAATATGTAATGCCGCATGATCCGGGAAATTTAAGCCAGGTTATAATGGGATTGGTGAAATTCTTGCTCTGATCCTATAGCAGGAAGATTAGGAATACTCTGCCCCACCAATCGTATCAGTTTGTTCTTAGTCACACTGACAAACAGCACGGAAAGGAACTCTCTGTTTTGATTGGCTTCAGGAGAATCCGCTACTTTTCACAGCCAACTAATCACTCTTTGAACTGTTGCTATTGTTTCCATGCAGGGAAACACAAACAAATTTGTGAGTACATGGTCTCATAAACAGCACTGAGCAAAAGGCCAGGTAATTTGTTTTAGTGATGGAGGTCAGAATTGTTTAACAGACGATCCAAAAGACTTTCAGAGATTTTCAAGTATTTTAACTCAAACACCAGTTTCCGTCTTTCCCTTCTGGGCCCTTTCCCTATCCAGAAGCCAAGTCCCCACTGGAGAAGAACCAAGCTTTTTCCTTAATGTAATAACCAACGATCAAATAAATCAATCACTTTGGAACCTAGCTGTTGTTGTTTTAATCAAGCTGTTCCAACATGTTATAATACATTTCCACAGCAGGTGAAACTTGAACCAGTGGAGGGACACTGCCATAGCACCACAACATCCTTAAGAATCCAGTTTTCTTTTTGTTTATTTTTGAAAGCCACAACCAAATTAACCAAGCACCCAATTAAATTCAGTCCCGATGAAGGGTCCTGACTGCTCTTTGGATGCTTCTGACCTGATGTGCTGCTCCAACTCCACGTTTTATCAACTCGGACTTCCAACGTCTGCAGTCCTTGCTGTCACCCAATTAAATGCACTGCTCACCAAGGGGCAGCACAACAATAACAAAAATGAAAATGGTTGGAGAAACAAGGGAGGGAACTAAATCCAAATAGTGCAGTAGAGGGAAATAATGCACTCCACCCCTAATCCGAGTGTCCATCTCTGTCTCAAAGCTTTGAGAGTGTTGGTAGACACTGCATGCTTCCTCTCCAAGGACACACAGGCATAAATATAGTTGCGGAAGAGAGACACACAGTCAGGAATTACGATCCCTTCCATGGCCCGCTGCCTGGATCTGTTGATGGCTACATTAAAGGACCCAGCTCTTGTTTTTTGAAAGACTCACAAACAGATTATCAAATTAACTCATTGATCAAGTCAGAATTAACAAGCACAACCCATCAAGGCCAGTATCGCAACAACAAAAAACAAAAAAGTGGGCAGAACAAGGGACGAATCCAAATCAAAGTAGTTTCAGAGGAGGAGATAAAGCACTCCAGGCCCACAGTGCCCACTTTTGACTAAAAGCTTCCAGGGTTGTGGTGGATACTGTGTGCTCCTCTCCAAGATCATCCATGTATGAGCGTAGCTGTGGAAGCGAGGTAGGCAGTCGGGAATTATGACCCACTGCTGCATCCAGTTGATGGCCATATTAAAGAAGGCAGCTTTTCTTTTATTTCATCCAAAAGTGTTATCACACAACTTAATGGCTTTAATTCCCGCCACGACATCACTCATGGTCAGAACCCAGCTCTAACACAAAGTCCATTCAGCGTTACCTACTCTCAATCAGCTCTGGAGCTGATCTGTTCTGAGGGACTTGTGCTTCCAACATTGATAAGAAACGTCCACTCATTTTCTTCCAATAGTGCCATGGGATCTTTTACATCCACTAGAGTGGGATAGTGTCTCAAATGAATGTGTAATACAAAGGAAAGGAGCTTCCAAAGTACAGCCTTTGCTGCACTGAAGTGTCAACCTGGATTATTTGCTTGCTTCTGGAATGGACTTTCTGCTCACAAATTTCTGATCCAAGTGCTATCGTTGAGGCAAGGTTGAGTCATTAAAGTAGCTGTTCAGCCTGAGCACTTGATGGATATATCTATCAAAAATCCTTTTGATGAAGCTAGTGCTCCATTTGTTGTATTCCTGATCCTGCAAATGAGGCAGGCTTTAAGAATAATATTGCTCCACAATCTGTTCGTTTCTGCCTATCATGCAGATTATCTGGTCAGTATCTCGTTGATATTTGTGGGATTTTGCTGTTGGCTGCTGTTTTTCCTATATTACCACAGGTTTACACTTCAAAAGTAGTTCTTTGGCTCATTAGTTGTGTAATGCTGTGCTGTGTTCATGATATACACTGTGTAGGTATGAAAGATTATTTTCTTTATTCAAAATAAGTAGATTGATTTTATTCCTTGAATGTAGGTGACCACTTGCAGATTCAGGAAAACAAGAATTATGTAATGCTACTGGAAATGAGAAAAAAAAGCATTTTTCATGACCACCCCATGAATAGTTCTCACTCTAAAGCAAACTTGTATCTGGTAAAATATTACGGTTTGTTTGCATTAGTTAAATTTAGTGTTGTTTTACCATTTTGAAAGCTGTGATTTTGTGTGAGTAAAGTTCGGGGACAGGACATTAGTGAGGCCTCTTCTGGAGTACTGTGTCCATTTCTGATCACCCTCTTTTAGGAAGTTTCTTACCAAGCTGGAGAGGGTTCAGAAAAGATTTATCATGATGTTGCTGGGAATGGAGGGTTTGAGTTATGGGGAGAGGCTGGATAGGCTGGGACTCTTTTCAGTGGAGCATAGTAAGTTGAGGAGTGACCTTATAGAAGTTTATAAAATAATGAGAAGGTGAATGGCAGATGTCTTTTCCCTATGGTTGGTGGGGGGGATGGGTTTTCAAGAGTAGGGGCCATATTTTCAAGGTGAGCGGAGAAAGATTTAAAAAGAACATGAGGGGCAACTCTTTTACACAGAGAGTGGTTTGTGTGTAGAATGGACTTCCAGAGGAAGTGGTGGATGCAGGAACAGTTACAAAGTTTAAAAGGCATTTGGATAAGTACATGAATAAGAAATGTTTGGAGGGAAATGGGCCAAGCACAGGCAGGCGGGGTTAGTTTAGTTTGGGATTATGTTCGGCATGGTCTGGTTGGACTGAAGGGTCTGGTTCCTCGCCATATGACTCCATGACATTCCATGAATGTTGTTTTAGCTCATCGTTTGATGCATTTGCTTAAAATTCCAACTTCCCTAAAGTCATAAAAATAGTACTGAGCAGAATTTGAACACCATAACAGTTTAGAGTTCCAAATTGCAACACACCACACAAGTACTCTAAAGCCTTGTGCATTTTGGCAATTCACTGTGTACTTTGCAGATGGATTACTGGGGAATGGGAACCATGCACCAGAACTTGTGGCAAATCGGGATATCAGATCCGGAGTGTCCGGTGCATTCAGCCACTCCACGATGGCACCAATCGGTCAGCACACAGCAAATACTGCAATGAGGATCGGCCGGAGACCAGAAAACCTTGTAATCGAGAACTCTGCCCTGCACAGTGGAGGGTAGGACCTTGGTCACAGGTAAATCGAGAATTGTTGTATTTCGTGGCATTTAAAGTAACAGTTTTAAGAGCTGACTGCCCATATGTTTGAGAGATATGTCATTCATGTTACTAATGTTTAACCACCATTTTCAACTTGCTTTGATTATGTTTCGACACTGAAATGGACATAGATCTACAGACAGTAATTTTTGACATTCTCTCTTGGGATCTAGGCATCGCTAGCTGGGCCAGCATTTATTGCCTGTCCTGAGCAGGGGATAGGTCCGTCCCCTAAAATAAAAGTTCAACAATTCAATAAACAAATACCAGACACCATTGACCAAACTTACCTTGTAGTTGCTAACAAAACCAGAAATTGTAGGAAAAACTCAATAGGTTGGGTAGCATCTGTGGAGAGAAAACAGAGTTAACGTGTTGAGTCCGGTGACTATTCATCAGAACCGCTGGTTGCTTCCTGGAGTTATTTGATTTCAACTTTATTGTTTTTAATTAAGAAGTGAATGGGCAGCAATCCTACATTTTTGGATCAGTAATTTAGTGCTGAGTACACCCAACTGAATTGGATATTAGGCCAGCTATAGCCTTAAAGGTATATTATTGGTATAGGTTTCATGCTGTTTTCAACAGAGTGCATACATATTTCTTCGAAAAATCTGTCAACAATCAAGATGTTCCAACTATTTTAATGAACTATCTGTTCCAGAAACATTACAAAATTCCAAGCTGATAACTGAGCTCATCCCCATTCTGCTTCTGTCAATGCCCCATCTTCATAAACATCAGTCTTTATTAGAAATGCCTGATGTTATGGAGCAGACCAGACATCTCAAAATATTTTCAGAAGGTAGCCTAGACCCTAACGTTTTCTTATTTTAAAGGCAAATATACAGTGTCATATTCCAGATGCAATGCGACAGGTCAAACTACTCGACGTTAAGCAAAACACAATTTATTTAAATGCTACAGTTAAAATACAACCAAAGAAAGAGGAATTTAGAATAACAACTCTAGTGGAAAACTTAACTGAATAATAGATACAGTAATTATTACTAATCAACTGTTCCAATGTAATAACATCCTGTAAACACACCCCTCGGTAAAAAGGCAGCTTCAGAAAAATAGAGATAACAAGGTGTAGATCTGGATGAACACAGCAGGCCAAGCAGCATCAGAGGAGCAGGAAGGCTGACGTTTTGGGCCTAGACCCTTCTTCATTTCTGAAGAAATGGAGCAGAGAAAAGCAGCAGAGAGAAACCCCAGCTTCTAGCTGTAACCGAGAGAGGGAAAAGATAGCTTCTATTTCTTCAAGCCCATAACAGCAACTGTTTAAAGCTAAACCTAAAATCTGAGAAAAACTGGAAAGCCTGGTCTGTGAGAGCTGGCTGCATCAGGCAGACTGTTTCCATTGTTCCAAGGCCTCACAAGCTGTTTACCTTCTTAGAGACAGCTCAGCACCTCTCATTCAATCTCTCCTTTCAGAAAAGGACAACGTTACCTCTTAAAGCCACAACATTGTCATACTGACCAAACTTCATATTCTCTTTCTGACTGTCCCACATTTCAGTGTGCATCTGTTCACATTTTTGCACTAATCTCCTCATATGACAGTAGTCATAAATACATTTTACTGTATTACTGCTTTCTTCCTCACAAGTATAATTTGTTGCTTTGCTAGTGTTCTGTAACCTGCAGAAATGGAACGCAGGAGAGACAGGTCGTGTGCCGAACAAGGGACAATATGATTGGTCATTGTGAAGAGGAAAAGCCAGACGCCATCCGGATATGTAGAATGCCTGCATGCCCCAGTAAGTCACTCAATAACATCCTGGATTCAAGTTACAGTGAGCTTTCAATATTTAACAATAACCTTCAAAACAATATAGAATTATTTTGCACTAGTAATGAGGGCAAACTTCACAGTTTCAGTCAGGGTCATGCTCACAGGGAGAGCATCAATCAGAGAATTGAGGCTACAGTGTTCTGGCTCTATTTTGGATCCATGCTTCCTTCTGTTTGGGAACAGGTGATCAGGGAATTTAGCCTCTATCTTATCCTACCAAATGCACAAAGTTTAAATATTTGCAGAAGTTTGTGAAGATTTAGAATGTGATAAGAACAATATTATTAAAAATTGTTGAAAATATATCCATTGCAGAGTCTTTTCATGAATACCCCTCTAGATGCAATGTAAGTTGAAAAAAACAAATGGTTTTGATTTAAGTAGAAGTAAGTTATAATATTGCAATTAACAACTACTTAAATAGAAGAGCAATCACAGTATTTGGTTTATTTCTAGTTCTGTTCAGAAGATTGATTGATTGATTCTGATGTGATACGTTCCATTTTTTCCAGAAAACTCTTCTCAGCAAACATCACTCACTTCCTCCAAAGGAAAATCTTTAATCCAATGGCTGTCACGTCCAGATCCAGCATATCCTATTCAGAAAGTTTCGAAAAGTAAATCATATTATAACTCTGATCCTGGCTTTAAATGCATGCAGTTTCTCACTTGGATTTTACCCTTCCTTGTTTCCTTTTCTCTTCATAGTGCATTTCTCTGATTCGCAACTGCATTATGGTTCTAATACTTCTACTGGGCCCTGGTGCACAGCCTGTATCTTCTCTAGAGCTTGTGCAGTACTAATGATGGAGGTCCAAAGGGGTGACTTCATACTTCACTGGAGGAATTCCACTGTATGATGCAGGCCTCTGAATGGGAGCTGTCTGCATCTTGCTTACTGTTTGATTTGCTTGATAACAGGCTCGAATGAAACATAGCCCCAGTTTGACAGAAACTGAGAAATTTATTGTGAATGTGATCACATCGCAATAACATCTTATTCTGCTAATACTTCCTTCTCTGTAAATCTCCTATACTTTGTTAAAATTTCCTAGGATAGTTTATGCTATGAATAGTAGTCTGAAGTAACTTCCTTTACCTGTCTCATTTGTTGCTTTCTGAGATAAATTTCTGCTGCTTGACATTGTGCTGTTGCATTTCATTGTATGGAGTGAGGATTAGGGGCTGACACTGTACTTATAGGTAGCAGGTACATGGTTCCATTTTCATCTGTTGCATGTTTGATGATTAAGTTATTTTGTGGGAGGGAGCGTCTGCTTGCATGTGTGTGTGTGTGTGTGTGTGTTAATTGGCTATTGTCACAAGTGGTGTCTGTTTGAGAGAGCTAAGTTACAATACAGTACCTCGTAAATTTTATTTTGTTTAGAAAAATGCCTTATTTAAGGATGAATGTAATAGTTTTTGTAACTACAAGCAACAGGAAACAAAACAGGAAACTTCATATATACTGAGCCCTTCTTTACCAATACACTATAACAATAATCACTGCCATGACTGGCTGCAGATGTAAACAAGTACCAACGCTAGGGATATAGAAAATATTCTGCAAGATTAAATTTAAAAGTGTAACATTTTAAGTATTATAGTTTGGAAAATGAATGTCAACATATAAGTACAAAACATATGGGCCTTTAAACAATGAAAATATTAGTTTAAGAGGAAAAAGCGAAAACACTTTGACCATGTCATTGTTATGTGATCACATATTCAGCTTTTATTGTAAGTATTTCAGTGGAATTTTTAGGATGTGTGCTAAATCTTATAAACAAGGAGAACTGATGAGCTACAACTATTGCACTGAAAGTGTTATATGTTACATAATTGGTGTTTGTACAAATGCACTCAACTGTTAATTTTGTTAAAGTCAGAAAGGTTAAATTAACCATGTTTAATGGCTCCAGACAGTGCAATATGATACTCAGTAATGTGCACTATCTGTATGCACTTTGTTTTTTCAGGGATAATTTATTGATATTTAGTAAACATTTAATAAAACTGTGAGGATGTACCATTTCAGTTTTCATCATTCACTTCTAGATTTTTTTGTAAGATTGGTGACAGAGTTTACCAAGTTAACTGTGATCTTGTACATTCAGATGCATTTTCTTACCAATGGAGATCTGGGGACTTGTGTTCCTCCAGTTTGTCATCAGTTTCTGCAAATAAATGAAAACTTATGTCAAGAAATAAAACATTGTCTATTTTTCCATTCTTTTTAACAAAAGAGAAATATTAGGCTGTCACTGGAAAATTCCAGTATTTTTACCCTTTTTTCTTTTTTTGCATCCGATGTTGAACAACCTTACCCTTGTGCTTGGTAACTTAGTAACTGTTCCAACACTGAATATGGAAATTCAATTGAACTTATTCATTATAAGTCCCCAATAGCATTTATCATCTGAGCTCAGTACTAGGCATTACAGAAAAGATTCTAACACATATTCTGGATTAAAAAGGCATTTTTCTAAGCAAATGGAGGTTGTTGTATTTTGTTTGGCCTCTGAGGAAACAAAATATTTGTGAATAAAGCCTGTAGTTTTCACTTTGTACAAACTAGGAAATCTGGGTATAAAGAACCAGAAGAAAAGCATCCATCTTAAAAGGAAATATTATGCCATTGTCTAACTGAAGCAGCTCAACAATCAGTAACCAAAGGATGCAGTCAGTTTCAGTTCTTCTTAAGAGAAGATCAAGCCTCAAGTGAATCCAGTGAATTAATTTCAAAACAAATGTATCTTGCAGTTTATAAATTTTAAACCAGTTTGTTTGAAAAAGTGCAAGCAAGACCTACAGGTCAGATATATGACTGCAGAACTTGAAGATGCATTTAAACAGTTATAATGTGGCTAACTAGAACATTTTTGTTTACTTTCTTAATTAATTGGACTAATCTGGCTATTAAAATATCTAACTCTTATAAAATATCAAGAACAAACTATATCAGTGAGCATTTGTTGTCCAAATCACCTACAAAACAAAACTTAAACCTGTTAACTGATGACAATATATCCTTTACAGTTCTAATTTTCTTTTCACCTTAATATCTTCGCAGAAGCAATTTGTCATGGGGACAAGTCAATCTTCTGCCGTATGGAAGTACTTGCCCGATATTGCTCTATTCCTGGCTACAACAAGCTCTGTTGCAAGTACTGCAATTCACTATCTCAACAGCTTGCAAACAAGACCAATGACTCTGAATCCCAAAAGCAGGTTAAACCAACCTTACTACCTGAGACCACAAAGAAGCCAAGGGTTGTTACCTCTCACAAAGTAAATGGAACAAAAGAGAGTGTTCAGAAAAATGCAGTTGGACAGGCACACAAGAGAGAAAATGGTAATAGTAAAAAACCACAACATAAATTGATAATTCCAACACGGCCAAATATGGTGAGCAACCACAGACTCCAGTTCCTGCTTGATCAGAGGAGAAAAGAGCTGCTGAACAATTCCTCAGAAAAAACAGTTTCATCTGTAAAGAACAACAGTTTACCTCACCCAGAGATATGAGCTTGAATCATCTGTCAACAGAAAACAAAAGAAGAATGTTATAAAGTGCTTCACTCACTATATGACAGAAACTGGACTAGAAATGAATGGCACAATTTATTTTAGCAGTGTTAACACAGTTATAACGCAAACACTTCTAACTTTAGTAATCTACCTTATAAAAAGTCAGCATGGAGCTTATGTCTCTCAGCTTTGCCAGGCTTCTCTCAGATGCACATAGACACACACATACACCTTCGTAGTGAGTGGTTTGATTTTACCAGCCGAGGATTTCCTCTGACTTCCTCTTTGCAGCTCATTGCTGCACTATATTGCACTTAATGTAGCATTTGCACCAAAATAATTTCTTTGTACATTGCAGTAAATTTCCTGGAAGAATGGTGCTGAACATTCCCAAAACACCTACGTACTGTATTAGTGGCACATATGATTCATTCCTCTTAGGGCCTTATTGTACCTAACAGGGACATAGTCTCCTCAGGTTCTAGTTCCGGTCCTGACTGAGAGATTATGTTGAAAATAAAGGTTACTTGCGATGTTGTACACAGACAGACATTGCCAGCATGTTATGCAGGTTTTGCTTTTGATGCTGCGTTCTTAGAATTTTTAAAATTTGGGAATATATGGTGCTGAATTTCCTGGAGATAGTCCTCAATTTGAAGAAATTGCAGATCAAGTAAAATCTGCAAAAATATCTTATACGTTTACACAAGGATAGAACCACAGAATAATTAATTTGCACTATTTGTTTTTACAGAATAACACTTACACAAACCTGTTATTCTTGTTATCAAAGGCTATTCCTACAATCTTTAAGAAAGTAAAGGAATTCCTGTAGCAACCTAAAACATCTGGAGTGAAATATGGTGGCTGGAGGACACACCCATTGTGATTTGCAAATTAATATGTTTCTATATAATGCTAAACTTCAAATTTGAAATGCCCAGAAACATCTTCATTTGGCAGATTTATATGTTCTGCCATTGCGTTTGGCTTCATAGAGGTAACCACCTAAGTTACTCTAAACTTTTGAAAGAAAATTAATCTTCAGTGCTTACTGTGCTAGACTTATCACAGTTTTCTTTTTGTACCTTTTATATATTATGGTGAAAGGTTCTCATGGCTGTACTACAGAATACTTTCTCACCTGTTTAGGTCATCTGTTTAGGTCATCTAGTTTGCTATACCTTTCATAATTTGTCATGGGATATCTGTCCTGGTCATCTGAATTCTGTTTATCCCTCCTCTTAAAAAAAAAAACAAAATAATAATGATAGAAATAAGGAAACAGCAAATTATGCAACCGCACAAGCCTTATTCCTGTATTCAACACTTATATCTGAGAAAATGATGTTATGTGTCGTTCTACAGGAATTGTGATTCCTTGATTCTACATTAAACTACCTTTCTCACAAAAGTGCATGTATTAACAAAAATAGAAATGGTGAACATCGGTCTGTCAAATTCTGAAAGGATAAAGCTAAGCTATTTTCACAAACTTCCCAGAAATCTTGTTGGACAATCATACAATCAGAGATTTTTATGATTAGGTGATGATGCCCAGATTTCTCAAAAGGTTTGGTCCAGTGATTCAGGTGGGATTCCAGATCAGGACATAAGTCCCCCTTGAAATGTAAACCTATTTTACTTTTCGTCGGATACTGATTGTTATGTGCATTTGTAGCATGATGAACAGGTATGGACTTAATGGTTTTCTGCTGTCTGAAAAATAGAACATTTCAGTCCCAAATTACAGATGTCATCTAACACTAAAAGTATTCAGCCCCTGAAATCCATTAGTCCAATCATGTGATGTTTCCTATTCCACAAAATTCTCATTCTGACTACTTTGCAAATTGCATATTTTGTAATATTTTTCTTAAGCCTAGACTGGGTTTGTCATTCCCAATTAAGAACATGTGTGACAAAATGTGTGCTTCACTTTATTTTATGACATTTATTTTATTACATATTGAATGCAGACATTCTACTTTAAAATGTAAAGTTGGTTTATAAGTTGTGTTCCAATGCTTTAATCTTGCTTCATGGCATATGTATTTTTCTTCATTAAGTAGTAGCTCAACTGGGCTGATTCCTGTATGTATGACTAACATCACCTGCCCCAATTACACTTGCAATTTCTACAGCAGCTCCACTGAAGAGTGTCTTTTGTACATTATTTGTATATAAGAGTTAGAAACTTTATTTTTAATATTTATTAAACTTGGAACATTTGTGGCATTTTGCTCATTTGTCTCAGAGCTGTAACTATTTTTGAATGTTCCTTTTCAGTTTTACAATGATGGCAATGTTACTGCCATTTATTTAGTATTTCAATGTAGGTTGCTTCTTAAGTATCTGAGTTTGTTGGGACTGAAGAACACACAATGAGCAATATGTGATCTTTGAAAATTTGTCCAGGTCAGTATGAGAAATGTTTCATTCAAAACAAATGTAGTAGTTTGCAACAGGAGGTTTAGTACAAGTCATATCACTCAGTTATTTTGAACTGAGAGATCAGGGAAGGTAATCAGAAAATGACAATAACTGACCAACGAGTTTTAATTCAATGAGGGAATAAAGTGTAGTCTCCTGTGATTGATGGGCTGAATCTTTGTAACAGTTAGTGGCAGGAGGCAGGCATGTTGACGAAATTGGATTGGAAAGCAGTGTGATAGTTTCCATCTGCAATTCTGCCTCTCAGACATTCTGGTGGAGGGCCAGGAAATGGAAACCAGTCCAAAAACGGCAGACAATTAATCTGTCATGCAGAGAGGGCAGTTGCAGAGCTTCGAGATGTTCAGACAAAGATTTTAAAAAGGAAGCACAAGAAATACTCAGGGTCACTAGGACGTCTGAAGAGGAAGGAACATCGCAGCGATGAGTCAGTCATAGAGACTGGAGCATTTCCTGATGCTGACTAGAAAGAAAATGAAGAACAGAGCACCTTGTTCATTGAGACACAGTGGAAAATCCATGAACAGAGGTCACTGAGAATTTTACTGAGGGAATGTACCCAGAGGGAGTAGGGAGGAGGTATACCCAGGCAATGCAATTGATGGCAGGGTGCCCATCTCTGGTCATGGTCTCAGTAACACAGAGCTTGAACTTAGGGACATTGATTTAATGCACGAGGGGAAGGAAGAGTATACACTCCCCATAAAGTATGCCACCTTTGGAATCCGCTGAACATATTGGAGCAGCAATGCCATCACAAGCTGTGCCCAGCAAGGTCATTGGTTGATGTACCCTCATGGAGTTGGAGTTTAGGCCTGACCACTTATGTGGACATGTATTGCAAGTAATTATCAAGTGTATGTGGTCTTGAACTTCTTCGTCCTCTGTTGTTTAAAAGAGTGGAGGTAGATCCTTGTGGCAACTCACAAGTGGCCACTGACTATGGCATCAGCTAAGTGACGGGTGCCTGAATGAGATGGCATTGAATATAAAGAGTTCCAGACTGAAGGGACCACACAAGCTCAGAGGGCTGTGGGCTTTATCTCCATGGCAGCATTTTCCCAGGTGTGGGGCTTAGCGACTGCACCCATGTGGCCGTCATACCCGAATGACGCAACTCAATTGTAAGAGCTTTTGCTCTTTCAATGTCCAGCTGGTGTGTGACCACCACATACATTTTGTGGAGGTGTACATACATGTTTCCTTCTGCTTTCATGACGTCTTCATCCTGAGGCTGTCAGGAATGTATGGATCATTGCTAAAGGATGAGGACTATTGAAGAAATGGATGTTAACACCAAAGTAAAACCCATAACAGAGGCACTACAATCACTGTTATCTCAGCACAGAGACTATGAGAGAGCAAGCCATCAAACTCCTGAAATTGCAGTTCAAGTGCTTGGATCAGTTGTGAAGACACCATAAGGGTTATTTGCGAGATGGTGTGCACTCTTCATAGCATGGCCCTCCACAGCAATGTTACCTTGGTGATGTAGATGCAGTCATTGACACACTTTGGAGTTGGAGGACTAAGTGATAGAACATGACATTCCTGCATCGCCTTCCAATGAGTGAACTCCTTGACTGGGATGGCAGGACGTCCCAAGCTGCAGTAATACTGGAACACTCCTCATGAGGACACGTCATCTGTGACTGCATATGGATCAGAACCTCATCTTTCCTACAAGGAGCCAGAGTTTCCTTTGTGCAGATGATGAGACATTCTCTTTTCTCTCACAGTGCCTGAAAGTCAAGTTACACCCAGTCACACAGTGATCCTAACTATCCACATCATTCTGGTGCTTTAATTCCATTAAAGTGTCAGAATCATGGGAGTTTGAGTACATTCAAAATCCATATAACTGCATCTAGTCACAACCAATAATCAGAGCTAGCACAAGCCACCCAAGTGTGACACAAAGTTAAACTTATCAACATGACATCTTCTGCTGGCTTCCACTTCAAGATCGCTCCTCCTGAGGTGGTGACTGAAGTAGCAGTAAACTGTTCGTGTGTGAATCTGAGCCTAGCTGTGATGTTTGTGGTTGCTGTCCTTGCTTTTGTGGTGCCAGTATCTCCATAGGCTGCCCCATCCATGTTGATGCAACGTAGCATCAAGTATGTTGTGCAGATGCCGCCTCAGTCAAAGAAACTAAGGGGACAACTCATGGTGACAATGCCCCATGAGGGGTGGCCCCTTCAACTTCATTCCTATCCACCCAAACCCTTGAGTGATGTCCATGCATGTCTGAGGGAGTCACCAGCTCATGTAAAATTTGCAGGCTCTCCATGCAGCTTTGTGCAAACAGTGTCATTGACCAGGCAATGTTATAGAATGTGGCATACAGCTGTGTATCTCAACACACTGAACTCTAGCCACTCTTACAGCTCTCCATGACGTTAGCTACACTCTCACATATACACATGTGCATACGTGCCTGGGACATAGCGAAACACATTTTATAGATGGACTCCTCCATCCTCTGCCAATGGCTCCTTACAGTTTGGGGAACTCTGACATTGAGCACACATCTCCCACTATTGCTTCAGGAAGACATGATTTCTGGGTTAAGCCTAAGATTTTGCATCAGCACCAAGTTGAACATACCTGTGTCTATCCTCCATCCTCTAAGGAGCACTGCACACATCTGCCTTGGCCCGCCTTGCAGATGTAAGGTGTCATTTACCCTGTGCCATCTCACATGAGGCTCTAGACATGGTATGTACTCCTGTATTGGTGAAGCATTTGCTTGTCTCATTTAATGGTGGTGCCTTGAATACACCTTCTTCCTCAAAGGGAATGCCAGTATTACATTGGCATTCTGAGGCTGCTCATTCATGACTGATCCTGCAGGAGGATTGAAAATTTTAAAGAATGTGGTCCTCTGTCGACAGCAATTTCTGCAGAGCAGTCCTGAGACCTTACGTATGGGGATGGAATAGACTGAAGAGGAGGGAGCTCCATTCCTATCATTGTGGTAAGACAGAGGGAGATAGCCTGTTTCACAACTTAGCACCACCTGATGAGTTGCCAGCCTGGCTATACCAATGCCTCCTTCTGCATAGATTTAAACTCACCAGATGGGGCACTCCAATATCAGTCTGCTTCAGTAGAGTTGTCCTGTGCTGTCTCCTAGAATCTATGGACTTCCTCTCTTCTTAAATTGAATCTCTTTGACTAATGTTTTGTCAGCTCTCTTAACACCTATTTTTGGTTCACGTTTTTAATTTACTTCTTATCATTTATGTGGGCATTGCTAATGAAACAATGATTTGTTGCCCATTCTTAACTGTTTTTGAGATTGTGGTGTGAAGCTGCCTCATAGAGTCATAGAGTCATACAGCATGGACACAGAAACTTCTGTCCAACTAGTGCTTGCTGACCATGTTCCCAAACTAAACTAGTCCTACCTGCCTCCATTTGGCACACATCCCTCCAAACTTTACCTATTCATGTACCTATCCAAATGTCTTTTAAATGTTGTAACTGTACCTGTATCCACCACTTCCTCTGGCAGTTCATTCCACACACTAACCACTCTCTGTGTAAAAAAAGGTTGCCCCCATGTCATTTTTAAATCTTGCCTCTCACCTTAAAAGTATGCCCCCTAGTTTTGAACTTCCCCACCTGATGGAAAAGACCCATGCTATTCACTTTATCTATGCCCCACATGATCTTATAAACTTCTGTAAGGTCACATGTCAACCTCCTAGGCTCCAGTGAAAATAGTCCCAGCCTATCTAGCCTATTTTTGTAATCAAACCTTCTATTCCTGGCAACATCCTGGTAAATCTTTTCTGAACCCTCTCCAATTGAATAATATCATTCCTAACATAGGGCGACCAGAACTGGACACAGTACTCCAGAAGAGGCCTCACCAACGTCCTGTACAACCTCAACATGACTTCCCAACTCCCATACGTAAAGATCTGAGCAATGAAGGTGGCGTGCTGAATGCCTTCTTAACCACCCTGTCTATATGTGGTGCAAACTTCAAAGAATTATGTACCTGAACCCCTAGGTCTACAACACTACCCAGGACCCTCCCATTAATTGTATAAGTCCTGCCCTTGTTTGTTTTACCAAAATGCAATACCTCGCATTTATCCAAATTAAACTCCATGTGCCACTCTTCAACCCATTGACCCATTGGAAAGATCTCTTTGCAATCTTAGATAACCTGCTTCACTGTCCACTATACTAATATTTTTGGTGTTATCCGCAAACTCACTAACCATGCCTTCTATATTCTCATACAAATCATTTATATAAATGCAAACAAAAGTGGACCCAGTACCAACCCCTGTGGAACACCACTATTCATAGGCCTCCAGTCTGAAAAAAACAACCCTCTATTTTCTACTGGCAAGCCAATTTTGTATCCAATTAGCGAGCTGTCCCTGAATCCCGTGTGATCTAACTTTACAAATTAGTCTACCATGCAAAACCTTGTCAAAGGCTTTACTAAGTCCACCTTGAAACTCTGCATTCAAGCTGCAGAGAGACTGTTACTGCTGTTGTGGAGATGGGGTTCCAAGCTTTTGATCCATGACAGTGAAGGAGCAGTGATATAATTCCAATTCAGATGGTCTGTGGCTTGTAAGTGGCTGTGTTTCCACACATCCATTGCCCTTGTCCTTCGAGGTGGTAGAAGTCATGGGTATAGACCATCGAAAGAGCTTTGGTCAGTTACTGCGATATGTCTTGTAGGTGGTACACACTTCTGTTCCTGTTTATC